TTATTTTTGTTATCAATTTGTGCTCTGTTTCCTGCTCTGATGTGATTAAATGTCATTGAGTGGATTTGGGTTGGGTGGGAAGGGGGTTTGGTTGTGGAAATCTTGATTGAACATTGTGAATGCTGAAAAGCGGCAAATAAAGTGTCCTGTTGATTCATTCATTCATTCATTCATTCAGAAGGTGAAAATGTGTCTGAAGCATTATTAGGAGTAATGCCAACGTTTATTTTCCATGAGATACATACTTTCAACTGCTATTGTCTTTCCAAAATGCCAGATGAAGATAACAGACTTCAGTGCTACTTTTGATGCATTTATTGGGCTGAAGAATATTTCCCAGGGACCAGCAAAAATCTTGAGTGAACCAATAACCTGGGTTGGGGAACATTGTTATAAGCAATGGTGAAGGAGGAAAACCGGGCAATTAAGCGTCTTCACACCCTTTCTGACTCTCATCTTTTTCACGCTGATCATCTGCATTCAGGGCTTCGCTGGATTCGTCGTCCAAGTAGTATTCTTCTTCTTCGGGCACGCAGCCACAGCAAACATCCGAGCACTTGTACTTGCAAACGTAGTTGGGGCAGTGGCCCATGGAGCAGATGAGATTGCAGGTGCAGCACTCTTTGCAGCAGCATCCGGGCCAGTGACACTCGCCCAATAATTTCGATCGTTCAATCTTCGTGAATTTAATTTCTTTCGCTCCTTGCTTATTTGCCAGGGTTGCGTTCACGACATGAGTGTTTTCCCGTTCAGTTGCCGAATTGTTGGACGGGTGAGGAAGAAGCATTCCGAAGACGAAGAGCAGCGCTATTTTCGAAACTCGCATCATGCTGTCGATTATTTGCGGAAGAACATGAGGCGATAAAAGAAATTAATGCCTGTATTGCAGTACTGAATTACCTACTAACTCAAGGCGGTAATCTCCAAAATAAGATAGATTATCTATCGCGAAATTTCCGTCAAATTTTAAAGCACCGGTGGTGATTCGAAATCACGAGTTAGGAACAATGATTGGCTACTATTTCTGATATTTTTTTTCTAAATGTATAATGCGCATCATATAATCTTCAATTGCTCGTATATTACTAACAAAGTCACGGATAATTATCATATATTATATTGATATTCTTGTCTCAATTTCGGACAAAAAATGTTACACGAAAAAGATTAATACATGACACGTTTGGTTCGACTTCTACTGAACCAAAATTATCTTCAAGTTCTGTTTATGGTGAAAATATTTGATTGCTTCAAGCTTTTCTTCCACCGAACCTTCGAATTAAAAATTTCTAGTCGGATTTCATACAGACACTTGCATAAAAATATTCCCACCTACATTCACGAAAATTCTTTCTAGATATCACTCTAAATTTCACTTCCACCTATCACGAGGAATAACATCTCAACAGAAATATTTTTGAATTATTCGCGATTTTCTCCGAATTTATGCTTTTTTCTACTGTTTCATGGTCGAATGAGACTGTACATAAAAAACGTTCGACTGTCAGTAAACCAGTTGAAATGCTGGTTTGGAAGATTTCACGCAAGAATTCTGCGAACTGTTGAAAAATCATAAAACCTTCCGCATCAACCTCCGAATAGGAGCGTAAATCACCATCGGTATGGATTTTCAAATAAAATTTAATGGTTAAAAATATCCGTGAGAATACTTTCGTGATAGCTTCCATCAAATTTCCTTGCCATAAACTTCTCATAATACGTGGAAATAATTTTTAACTTCTACGACACAATAAAAACGCAAGGAAAAATGCCGGTTGCTATCGCGTAATTTTCCCACACAAACTTCAATCCCGGAGAGAATCAAATGCATAAAATGCATATTTTTGCCTAAAAAAAGCAGGGACTTTTTTTCTTCAGTCTAACCAACAATCAAAGCAATAACAAGAACCGAGCACAGAAGCACTGGCAACAACTATAAGCACAAACACAGAATACAACAGTATATTTGCTTCCTTCCGAAAGCACGAAAAAAAAAAAAAAAAAGATGCACAATAGCTGCCAGGAAAACTACCCACACTTTTTCCTTCATGGTAATCGCATTTCACAAGGATGGTAATAAGAAAAGATCCGAAACTTTCTTCGTCGACTAGATGCGTCGTTTAGTTAACAAACGGTAACAAAGTGCGGGAAAATTGTTCCAAAATTCTGCACCTTCAGCAACAAATAATAAAAACAAAATATCCTCAGGGCATCTTCTCAACAAACAAAAAAAAGTTCCCTCTCCGTTTTCATCAGGTCGTTCCACGTATCGTTTGAGCATTCGGAGAGTTGAAAAGAGAGCAAGAAGTTGGAATAGCTCGAACATCAATACTTGCAAAATGGGTTTTCTGGAAAAATAAATAACCTAGGTCAAGTTGGAACACTCGACGACGATTCCTGCTGCGTTGGAAACACTGCTGTTTTTTCTCTTTCTGATTTTTTTTTTTTTTTTATTCACTGGCTGCATTGCTTCAGTATTCCTCTTCTTCCTGCTTGACGCACTTATTCTTGAAACAAATGACTGAAACCTGGGAACGTTCAGTGGCTGTTGAAACCCCAAGGATTTTAATGTCATTCGGGTTCGGAACAGATTCCCCGTCACCCTCTTCGACTTGTGAGTTTTCTTCCACTTCAGCTACTGGAGCCACGGTCGACATTTCCGGTGGGGACTGATTGACGGGTTTCGCGGGTCTCTGTTCGGGTTCCAAGATGAGCTCGTCCTCGGGAAGTTCGGGTTCCTCCACGAGGTCTTCTGGCTCTTTGCTGTCGCTCTTCTCTTCTTCAGCACCCATGTCCTCGCGATTCGTCGGTCGGTTGATGGCCGTGTATTTCCACAGGTATTTGTCTGAAGCATCAGGGGATTCCAGTCGGGTTGCTTGTTGTTGTTGTTGTTGTTGTTGCTCAGCATCCAGCAGCTCCCTGGCAATGTCTTCGACGTAGTCACTGTTGATGCCTTGTTGTTCCAGGAGGTGTTTCAGGGCTGGGATCGTGGCTGTGAATGGCTCTGGAGTGGCTGTGACAGGGGACTGTTGCTCGCTGCTGGAGGATTTCGATTCCTCTGCTGACTCGACACTCCGCTGGGGGTCTTCTTCTTCTCCTTCGTTGTCTTCCAGTTGTCCTTGTTCGAGGGATGAAGAGGAGTCCTTGCTGTCAGCTGAGTTCACATTTGCTGCTGCTGGCTCTGGTTCTGCAACGGGGGAAATGGCTTCATTGTCCGCAGGCATCGACACGAATGACGAGTAAGCGCCGGTCTTGTCGTCATTTTTGGAGCTGTCTTCTCGGGAAGCTGGGTCCAAGGTTTCGTTCTCCTGAAAATAATAGCACAGTATCGTATTCACTCAAGTACTAATGCACCTTTTTCAAACAAACAAACAAACGAAAACCGAGCAAAAAAAGAGAGAGGTGCGCGTATAGTCGGGTGCAAATTTTCTAGTAAATTTTTCAAGCTTTGAACTTTTTCCCCACTTCAAATTTTTGTAAAGTGTTCTTTTTTCAATGTTTGTTTTCTTCACATAAGAGAAACTTTATAATTGAAGTCAACTTTCAAGTCGAATTGTAATGTATTCAGATTTTTATCTCATGTAGTTTTTAAAATGTCCTATCACTGTAATTTCTGGGAACTGAAGACTAAGGTGCACGTCTAAAGGCGGAGATACATTTTTCTTGAATTTGAGCTATAAAAAACTAAGGTGCGCGTTTGCTCGAGGTACTCGAGTAAATATTGAGATAAAAAATTTGCTGGCCTAGGAAAATCACGGAGAAAAAAAAATTTGCTAAATAATGTGGAAGTTGATTGAAATAAACTTCCTTCTTAATTTCTTAATTTTCTGTTGGATAGAGGAAAATCAATTATTCAGTTCAATGTCCCAGTTTTTCTCGAAGGTAATCAAGCATCATGGACAACAGCGAACAAATGCATTTGAATAAAGTCCTGAAAAAATTATTCAAAGATTACTTAACATTTAACGGTATTGGATAAAATTGTGCGCATGATGTCAGAGCTCATTATTAACCAAGATTATCAATGGTACAGTGCGTGAATCAAATTTAAGGTTTTGTTAAAATACTGTAGAGATTACATTTTTCTCAAGAAAAAATCAAAAATATGGGCGAAGTTATTGAAATGTATGATTAATTGATGCAATGATAACCAGTTCTGCTTTTGCTTATTTGGTGAATGGAATTTTCTTGAAGTTACAATTGATGAGTTGTAATTATTGAACAAAAGAATGCCACAAAAAACAATGCCAGGGATTCTGAAAAAATGATTGCAATAAAAAACCTATCATTGGGTTTTTTTCGAAGATATATATATTTTTGGAGCGAAAAAAAATCCCGGGTCGCATTTATTCTTTATTTAACAAATTCACTGAAGATTTCTGAGGACACATTGAATGGCCTGAGCGAAAAAAAAAAAGTGTGCTGATTTCCAAATTATAAATACTGTACTGTACACAGAAACGTTGCATGACGTGAATCTGAACTTAGCCTCAAAAGCAATTTGTTCGGGAAGTAATAAAGCTGTGAAGCTATCATAGCCCTTCCTCTTTTGAATTGGCGAATTAAAATTGAAATTCAGATTGACAGCCTTACCAAAAATTTGCATATCTGACAAAAAGTACTCATGTTTCAAGGCTTCTGGATGGTGGGTTGAAAAAATAATTTGGTTAATTGTGCGATGGCTTAATTGCTGAAAGTTTAAGACAATATTCTGACAAGAAAACAAGGTCGGACAGGCTGTAACAAATCATTCAATCCGCTTGCATGACAAATTTTTAGAATTTCCCCGGTGTTTACCTCGTTCTCCTGGGTGTAGTCGTCATTATTTTCATTGTCCTTCAGTTCGCCTGAGGGCTTGCTGTTGATATGAACCCACCAGGGGTCAGACTGCAGGACCTGGTCAACTTCCGAAGGCTGATGATGGTACACGAATCGGGATCCGCTGATTTCCAGGTCTCGGGAAGAGTCATGCTCAGTCGACCCCTCCGTCGTGGTCGCAGGCGGAACTGATTCGGTTTCTTGTGGTTTCGGGGTTTCGTCTTGGGGTTCCTGGGTCCTGGCGATGGGACGACGATTGAGAAGCACCTTTCGGCGGACACCGTTGATTGGGCGACGGATGGTGCGGGTTCCGAATCCCGGGCGGACGGTGGACACAGTCGTGGTGCTTGACGTGGTGGTCTCCACTGGTGCTGGGGCGTCCGGAGTGGCGGCTGCTGCTGCTGGTGTCTCGGATTCCTTGATGTCGTTGTGGTACCGACCTCTGAATCTGAAAAAAAAAACAGAAGAAGGAGGGGTGTGGAGACCGATTTTATTCCATGTCATGATTTCTATACGCGCTGTTGGAATTTGCCACCATTCGCGCTGAAAATGTACCATGACGATTCCTCGTCTCTAACAGAACCCAATCCCCATACACAGCATTCAAATATAGTAATGCCTTTCCTGAAATTTTTCCAGATACCTCAGGAAAACTATGAAATGTGCATGATGAACAATTTCGGGCGCAAAATCCCGCTATTGCCTATAGCAAGATAAACATTCAGAACTCGAACGGAACAGCGGAATTCTACCCGAACTAATGTACTGTATCTATAACTCGTATGTTTGAAATATGGTCCAAAAACAAAGAAAATTTCTCAAACATACTCAGACAACTATGAATTATACCTTCGAGCAACGAAAATTTTCTGCTTAGGCGAAAATCTGCAACTCATTTCGTCAATCGATGACCAGTTCTAGAATTTGATTTCAAAATTTTTACGAGTACACCGTCCTCAAAAGACACAAACCTGATTACCCTCATTGAAAACTGTGAAGTATGCAGTTTGTTTGCTCACTGGTCAAAAAATTTAATATTTCCACTGCTGAGGCGTAATTTTTACAGATCTGCGAAAAATCCAAATATTTTCGTTTATGAATAACTTGAAGTTCAGATCGCTGTGGAATATATGGGACGCTCCTCATATATGTAAATTCGGGTTAGACCAGAGTATGCTAAAATAAGAATCATAAGTTCTGGGATATTTTCTAAGAATCCTAAACTCAATGATGCAAAATTATTTTAAAACGTAACTGATGAGTTAAGTTTAAATCAAAATGTATTAGTGTACATTTCTAATGAAAAAAATTTCTGCGACAGTTCAAATTCTTTTTTTTAGCTTTGGATTAAGAGGCGAAATGGAAGAACAAAAAATAGCTAGACCTGCTGCTTTATAATCCAAATATTTTGGATTTTTGAAACTCATAATATTAAGGTTGGGGTTTTTTTAGCAACTTAAGGTCGAGAAAAAAAGCATCCCAGCAGACACAAGTATCTGGAGGGTGCCATCAGATGGAAAACAGCCCTCTCCACATGTAGGCTGATGGTAAACTTGGTACAGCATTTTTGGTACTTCAACATACGTATATTTGGTGCAAAAACATTTTGATGCAGGAGGGGTTGGTAAATAATTTTATGGCACAACTATTGTGGGTATGCTCTATCTGTGGTGCAAAACAGATTATGATGGCACATTTAATTTCTGGTATGCATATGCTTGGTATCTACTGTTCATTTGGTACTCCAAGTTTGTGTGGCGGGCTGAAAATTTGGGTACACTGACTTTTCATGAACATGAACACTTCACATAGTATCTAGTGGTTAATTTAAAATTCAAATGTAACACATACCTAATTTTCAAAATGTGGCATATCAGAATCAAGCCTACCTTTTCACAGCCTCTTGGTAAGGTGGGAACAGTGTTGCTTCTCTGGACTTGATCACCTGGCTGTCTTCAGCCCTGGGTGCAGCAGTGGTGCCCTGCACAGCAGCTGGCTCCTGCGTGGGTCTGCCTCTTGGCCTCAAATAAGCAGGTCTAGGTCTAACTGGAACCCTTTGCCTATTCACACTCTGCAAATCGGCGTTATTATCATCTCCCGATAACCCCAATTGATTTCCAAACAATCTCCCTGGGATCTGTCGACCAAAGACGGGCGTGCTTGACGTCGATAAAGTCGTTGTCGTGGTGGTACTTTCGATCGTAGTTGGAGGCAAAGTCGGCTCATATCTGTCGTCTTCATTATTGTCGCCATCAATTTGATTGTTCTTGGTCGCAGCCACGGGAAGAGCGATTCTCACATAACCCTCTGGTGGTTCTTGGTCCGCAGGAGCGATGAAGAACTCTGGCAACGCACCTGTGTTCTCCTCGTCCTCGTCCAGGTTCCTGAACCCATCCCCGTTTCCCCCTCTCGGGTTCTCGATCCCAGGCACAGGCAATTGAATCTTCACATACCCGTCAGGTGTCTCAATATCAGATGGTCCAATGAAGGCCTCAGGCAAGTGTCCAACACCCCCATTGTTGTTGGGCTGTTTCGTCACATCAAGCTGTTGTTGCGGCGGAGGGAAAAATGCCTTCGGAAACGTGGATTTGTATGTTGTAGGAAAGACAAATGGTCTCGCTGTGGTCGAAGGCAGGTGGTACACTGTGGTTGTCGTCGGAGTCGGCGTGGTTGTGGCGACGAACCCACCACTGGTCTGAAGGCTGCTCGGGAACAGGCTCTGGAATGGGAACGGAGACTGATTTGTAGTCGGCCAGAATCTGAATCCTGAATGACTCGCAGTGGTTGTTTGTGATGGCAATGGAGAAGCAGTTGTTGTGGTGCCACTACTGGCAAATCTATCATTCTCGTGGCTGTTGGACTTGGCTGGCTGGATCCAAAACTGATTCAAACTAGCAATGCTGTCGGCGACACTCGGACGAACAAAGGGCCTTGGCAGGAAGTGACTTCCGGACTCCAGGGTCTTCTCATGACTGTCTTTGAAACCCACAAACTGCTTCGTCTCTGGGATCGTATTCGCGTTCACTTCTTCAGGCAGGTCAATCTTCACGTAGCCATCTGGCGGCAGATGTTCTCGGGAAGCAATGTAGGCATTGGGAAGATTCGAATTCGGGGCTTTGGGGCCAGAAGTGACTTGAACCTTGGGTATCTTCAGGTCGATTTTCGCATAGCCGGCAGGTGGCGAGAGGGTCGCTGGAGCGATGAAAACCTTGGGATAGTCTACGTCTTTGCCAAAGTCGCTGTGGAAGTTGGCAAGGCTGCCAGAGTTGATGTTGCGCAGGGACCTGATGACTTCATCAATGTCGATCTTGTTCTTCTTGTCTAGATTGTGGATCATGAGACTCAGGTCTTGTTCCACCTTGAAGGCCTTGGAGTTGAGGACAAGTGACAAAGGTCCGTGTTGCTCTGGAAGGTCGACATTATGTTCAAATGATGCTGCCTTATTATTGTCGTTCTGAGAGCTGAAGACTTGTTGTTTGCTCGGCAAGGAGGACTTTGATGACGAAGACGATGATGGCTGTCGGAATTTCGGGGAAAAGTTCTGAAACGGGCTGTTGGTGAAGAAGGGCGAGTTGAAGCCAGTCTCAATGCTGTTGGCACTATTACTGAAACTCTGACTCGGACTCTGGCTGGGGGTCTTTTTCTCGAAAGATCCGTCGACATCCAGCTGGCCATTGAGTCCACGGATGCTGACGAGTTCTGCCCCCGAGGGCAAGAAGGATCTCACAAAGTCCAGGTTGAGTTTCCCGTTGACACTGAAGGGACTGAGTTGCTTCAAACCCGGGGCTTGACGATTGTGTTGCTGAGTCTCTGCGGGATCAGTTTTCACCACGCTGACGATCTTGGCTCCAGGTAGATTCAATTCCGCGAGCAGCTTGTCAGTCACGGGTCCCTTGATGTTCTCCAGGGGGTCCTTGCGACCCCGGAGAGTCGCAGCTGGAATGTAGATGAGTTGCACCCGGGGTTTGCCACTGCCAGACACGCTTTTGCCAACTGTGATTTCGGACTCGGGTTTCTCGGGGCTTTTGTTCACTTCGATGATGACCTTGTCGGCGGCGGGTGCTGGTGCTGCGGGTTGGGATGGGTTGCGGTGGGTGGGCAGGAGGAGCACGGTGGTGCCGGGTTTCGTCTGTGGCGATGGTGGTGGAGGGCGGTTGTTATTATTATTATTGGGGTTACGACCACTGGATGGGAAGAACGATTGGGAGATGGGGCTTCCAACCGGCACCCGGTGTGGTGGTGGGTGCATATGGTCGCTGGGTTTTCGTCGGGGTTCTCCAGCAGGGAACAAGAAGCCGGGAACCACGGCTGGGGCGATTTCAACGGGCTGAACGATCTGCAAAATAAAAATAAATAAACAGTCAATGAATAAATGATTAAAAATAATCATTGAGAAAAAGTTATTATTCTTATGAATATTCATTGGTTTTGATGACACAGCGTGGGTTTTGATGGAAAAAATTAGCGGATATGATGCAGTTGAACACCATAACCCGAACCTCCATAAGGCAAATACTGCACTGTACTTCCCTATGTCGATTTTTTAAAGTTTTTCTCTGAAATCCCTTGGAAAAATGCATCAAAAACTTCTCCAATAACTCGAAGGCTTTTCCGCTCAAATCTTTGTATCTCACATTTACGGAGGATTTTAGTTTATTATTTTCTTGACACAGAAAAGAGATAAGCAATAAAGAACTGTAAATTGATGTGTTTAGAAAGAAATTTGAAGACTGATTGGGCGAATGAACCACAGCCTCCAAGTTCAGCATCATCTTGCCATCTAATTTAAGGCTCAATTTAAGGCCAAGAATATTACCATTTACAGTTTCCTGCAATTTTTCTATCTTCACTACACAAAAATGCTTGTTTCCTAAATAAAAACATCCGCAACTTGATTTTTTTTCCTGACCCCTGTGAAATTTGACTTCACAATTTCTTACAATTATTTTTCCTTCCACCACCTACTAAAATGCTTGTTTCCCCAATTCCGAATATTTTGCTGGTTCCTTGAAGTTTAACTTATTAAACAGGGTTGACTGCATGCTGTAATATTTTTCAAAGTGCCATTCAGATGCAGAAGTCAGAGATTTAACAGGTTTCCTAATTTTGAATAAACCTAAAACCGGCTTTTATCCATCAAAAACTCTGACTGGAACGCGTGGGATCAAACTTGCTGCTGGAGACCGATTCAAATCGTCTGATCGATGACCAGTTCTGACCTGAGGCCCGACTTGAAACAACAACGTGGTCGGCTTCAATGGAATTCGGACGTTGTTGGATTGCTGCTGTGGCTGCTGCGGACGGCTGGGTTTCGGTACCGACGATGGCGTCACCTGTACCTGAATCGACGCTGGTGCTGGCGGTGCTGCAGAGGGCGACACCTGTCGGCCCGGGCGCGGCGATGCGTTGCTCACTACTGCTGCCTTTTCCGAGGACTTCTCGTGACATGTGGCGCATGGTGCATCGATCGGACGCCACGCTCCGGTGTCCCATTTGATGTCTCGACTCGGTCTGCTTTTCGGTGCTTCTTCAGCCATTGACGCTGGTATCCATAACAAGCATGCCGCTGCTATCAGCTGAAAGGTATCAAACAAAAACAATAAGCATCAGCAACTTTTCGACTGATTTTTCATTCCATATGAGCCGACCATATTAATATCCAGCGCCTTAAAAATTTCCGGAAAACTTTTGATGCGCTCCTTCTTTCTTATTTTTACGTAAATACTCAGCTCTTCTTTCTTTAAATGTTGGACAGATGTCGCTTGTATATTACCGTAAGCGTGCACTGCCGTACAGTAATCATACCCTGACGCAGCATTAAATATTTTCCCCACATAAAGTTATAAATTATATAGCCCCATTTTCAGCCCGAAATAAATTATAATACTGCAGTTGACTAATGTTTGGTGCAGCTGGACTGAATGAACCTAACCTGTATTTATCGGTTTCGTGCTCTTTTCTTTTCTTTTCGATTTCAAAAAAATTTTATAGTAACCACAATATTGAGGGGATGATTATTAAATTCAAAGAATCGAATTTAATTAAGAGGCTGTTTTCTATTGTTTTCAGCTTTCTCGCAGCATTATTTTGCAATCAAACCAAAATCTCGCAAAGGAAACAGATTTTTTTTACTACTATACTGTAATTTGTTTGGAACATCTAAATTCCGCATATTGGCATGATGCTCGTGATAAAAAAAGAACATTCAACGAAGCTTTCGGCAAACTTTTCAATTTTTATCTTATTTTGAAATGATACCGTGCTGTACTTCGTAGAACCGAAACGACCCAGAACAATTTTGAAGTGCATTGATTATTCCCATTTCTTGCATCTACAGTACTACGGAATACCAAAATTAACGATGCAAAAGCTCTTTTTTGTTGTTGCAAGAATCCGGGGAGCTCAGAAGCTTTTGCGATGGGGAGGGGGTGGGGGAAATTGCAAATTAACGCCGACTGTATGTCGATACGCGCAATCAGACATCTAGAATCGCTGTTAGTTATCATAAATCCTTGCAAGGAACACGCAAACAATATTGATGAGGAGAAAACCCGTCATCGCGAAAATATGGTAATGAAAGTTGAAAAACAGCCGTATAGTCACCCACACCTAAATCACCAGCCCGTCTCGCGGTTCTTTTCCTTTTCTCAACAATAAATAAAATCAAAACAAAACCAATTTTGACCGCGAGGGCGCATTTTCCGATTGTGAAAGTAAACCCTTGGATAATTTCCGGGTAATCCTTCCGGCTTGCCCCTGGGTCTGGGAACGAAAAAAAAAGTTTCGATCCCGATCGACCGTTTCACGTCTAACTTTACTCGTGCCCATTAAAAAAAAAAAAAACATGTGGCGGGATTGTATACACACACAAAAAACACACAAATCCCCCTTTCAACCAGGAAATAACAGTAAAAGTTAGGTGTTCTGGGGCTTTCTCTTGTTCAAACTTCGATGCTTCTCGGAGATTCCGATGCGCGCCTCTGATAGATGTTCGGGGCGGAAAAGGTGAAGAACTTTTGACGGGGATATTCCAGGAAGAAGCTTCCGAGTTCATGAGAACGGAAATACTGTACGAAGTTGATGGACAATGCAAAAAGAGGAAGATGCTCGAGATAGGTTTTATGAACGACGCGTTGTGAAATCCATACGAAGCACCTTGTCCGAGAAAAAATAAAAGTGTATACTGTATTTGAAGAGCCTGCATCAGGTTCCATCTTCCAGGTAACTATCACTGACTCTTCCTGCACCGATCCGTCGAATCTGATGTCGGACAACATTTTATTGTCTTTAACTACAGTATATATGGGGATACCAATATTTCGCAATGCATCTCGTTTTTTCGAACGTAACTCAAAGGAAATGCAGGACAGCGTCATTTTTATGATCCAACAAATGAAGAATTTTCAATGATGTGGAATCCAGCATTGATATTTCCAAAAAATAAATAAATGATCTAATGACCTATCCTAGATCACTCTTCTGATTCAAAAGAGACGGAATTTGTAGCGCTTGAGAAAATCTTGGAAAAACATAGAAATCATTTTTGAAATTGCCGGAGCAGCCGGAATGAAATAAAGTGGAAAATTTGTCGATCACAAACATCAGAAACCAATTAATTAATTCTGAAAACTAACTGCTTCACCTCGTGAAGTGTGCTCAACATTTTTATATTAATTTTAGAACATTTGGATCTGTAGACGCGAGTGTGAGAAAAAAAACTAGCATATTTGAAAAGTAGCCTTCAAAACAGCAATAATAAACATATGCAGCAAGTATTGATGAAATTATTCAAAACTTGCTGGTGGAATTACCAATTGCAAAAAAAGAATTCATGAAATATTTTTCTCATTCTCTTAAATGTATTCAATTTTTTTCGATTGAATTCACAGACAAAGTTCCAGAGCGTGGACTACAAAAATGTTGTACGATTCACATATAGATAATATTGTATTCATCTTCAGAATAACTCAAATACTACAGATAAACTTACCAATGATTTGAAAACCATTCAGTTGACATGCGTGTGTGAGATTTTTTTGGGATACTCGTGTTCTTCCTATCAAATAACAATGGCAAGCTTTCCAGTTTATTTATATATTAAATTAGCCATCTTTGACGAGCTAATTCTATGGGCTTGTATATGGATTTTTTCTGCTGATCCAAAGTATATTATTTTTTCAAAAATCACATGTACGTTTTCTTGGTCCTCGATGCAGATTTAATCTTGAATCCAATTCGATTTATTAAAAGGACAAAGGAGTTCGTATTTAATTTGAAAGAAGATCCGTCTGCTTGGTGGGGAATCCCCGATCTGACCGAGGAGTCTTTTGCGCACAAAAAAAAAAAAACAGACATCTTATAGCAATCACGCTGACGTCTAAATTTAAGGCTGCAAACTTGGTCAATTTTCGCAAAAAAACCGCTTTCATTCTCGTTCGCGACGAATTTTTGACGAGCAAAACAAATGGTGCGGGCGTGACGAGGCACAAACGCTCTCGGCTTATTTAGGGGAAAACAGTGGCAAGTAATTCCCATCATTAGCCGAGTCATTAACGCGGACCGACAGTCGAGACGTTTTAGCAGCAGGAAGCCCACCAAAGACTGTTTTCTAATCGACTCGTTTCTTTTCCACCCACTGGGTAATTAATCATCGCCTCCGACTGGTTATATACTGTATATACTAGAAAACTCGCTGTGGAGACTTGTCATTTCTTTCCGGGGATTCTTATTCTTGCGCAGGAAAAAGTTGAATTATTCAGAAACGGACTTGGACTCGTGACAGACAGGAAGACCAGACAACTTTCGAAAAAAACCTCGTCGAGATTTTTGAATTGCGCGAGAACCGACTCTTCAGTCACCTGGAATCGTAACTATATATGAAGAGAGTGAACCATTTAAAAAGTTTTCCTCTGCGGATTCGAATCCGAGTTTTGATTGATGAAGCTCCAAGACGACTCGCGTTCACACGCTTCCTTAGTTATAATTTAAGATAGATTCATAGAGAGACTGATTTCAACATAATGATGCAAGATAATTCTCGCGAGCATGGGACGTTTTCTTCAGTCATGGCAAATTTGAAACGCGTTTGCTACGCCATGTCCGAATTCAAAGTCATCTAATTTTCTGAAAATGAGGCTCTAATCTCGTTCTTGATTACTTTAAACTAATCGAGAAGCAAGGAGATTCTTCTTCTGCTTCCGCTGAGTGGCCCGCATAAAAATTAATAGCTTTGAATGTAGATCTACAACATAAGACTTGAATCGGTAAATTTAGAGAGATTGAGTAAGTTGAGAAAATATTATGCATCGGATTGGAACAATCATGCAAATTTTTTTTAAATTGTACGCACCCTTTCATTTAAAAATTTATGAGCTTGACTAAAAAAAAACCTCAGCGTTCCATAAAGTTAAATCGATTCTTCTTTCGTGATTTCCCTGATTCGTATTTTTTGTTCAGGTAGATCGAAAGTTCAGAAACGATAATTTCAAGTAAGAGTATTTCAAGGAAAAAAAATCGGAATCTGAGGAATTGACATAGTCTTAAATTCAACTTATTGGGAAATGTGTGGAGCAAAAATTTTAGACACAATGGAGGAAAGTGTGTAGAACCGAAACTAGAGAGATTTTCAAGTAAAGTTCCGGTGTTTTATTTTTACTTCGTATGTAGATCAAGCACCTCTTGAATAGTGTATTTGTATTACATGCAGAAAATATTTCACGAAACCTCATCATCCATATTCAAGCAACGACAGCATGATTCTTTTTTTAAAGCCACAAGCCCCAAAGCGCCCATCGTTTCCGGTCGATGACGAAGAAAAAGGGTTCGCTAACATTTCCGGTGGTTCGGTTACTCAGAAATTCAAAATGGATCGAGTTTGGGGCCAAAAGTCGGGTATTGGGCAACACTTGGACAAGTGTCGCTATCGGTCTGCCGACTCGTTGAGGTTCACTTTCATTCTGCACCTACATATTGAGTTTTCCCGGGCAGAAGGTCCGCGTAGGTGCACGTAAAAGTTGTGACGACGATGAGGGGCCTGTTTTCACCCCGAATCGAAATGAGGAAATAAAAACACGTCCGAAGAATGTGTTGTCCTTTTCGACTGTTTTTTTGAAGAAAAAAAAACTGCCTTCAATATAATTACGTGTTCTTCCTTCTTTTCTTTGTTTTCTGCCTCTCTCGATCATCTTTGCCTTCTTCGAAAGTTACCGATTTGTTCACTATGAGCTTGATTCGAGCGCGAATAAAGAACTTTACGACTGCATCACGCCTTGATTCGCGAAGTCACACGGAAATTGACGATCAAAACATTTAAGCAAGAAGTTATACCCGAACTTTATCGATTTTCCACCACGCGGCTGTTTCATTCCCGTTTCTCAAAAAAGCCTCAGTAGTACTGTATTGGGCTATTCTTCTGCAACGATTAGTGGATTTCGATTTTTTAAAGGGAAAATCGAAGTCGATTTAAATTAATCCTCATGATTTTCTCATTAGACTCGCTGGCATGTCGAATTAAATATCAAGAGCCTAGCATTTAAAG